TTTATATGTACCTGCGTGTGTGTGTGTGTGTGTGTGTGTGTGTGTGTATTTATATATGTATATTCACACATTTTCTTTTGACCGTTTTGTTGTGATTTTGAAATGCCTTGTGATATTTTGTTGTTCTTTTCCTTTTAATAAACATTTGATCACAAAAAACAATAAAACAAAACAATTATTGTTATTAAATTTTATTGGTATCAGTATCAATTGATATGTAATGATAAATGATTATGATAATATTAAAAGGAATAATAACAATAATGCTATTAGTAGCGGTATAAATAACAACAGTTGTTAATATTTTATAGTTTATTGATGATGATTATGATTATGATGATGATTGTTGTTGTTGTTGTTCTTATTATTATAAAAATGTATCTATTGTTAAATATACAGTGGGGCAAAAAAGTATTTAGTCAGCCACCAATTGTGCAAGTTCTCCCACTTAAAAAGATGAGAGAGGCCTGTAATTTTCATCATAGGTATACCTCAACTATGAGAGAAAAACAGTTTTTTTGTTATTATATTAGTATCATTATTAATAACAATATTTAATCATTGATATTTAATGATAAATTATGATATATTAATATTCAATAATAACAATGCTAATATTATTAGTATCAGTACTAAACGATAATAATTTTCTTATTAGTAGCAGTATCAATAAAAATTTTTCATATTTAATAATTTAATGATGATGAGGATTGTTGTTGTTCTTATAAAAAATTATCTATTATTAAATATTAATTATGATAATAAATAATTGCACATATATACATATAAATAATGATACTGTGTAGTAATATTTTTTTATTAATAATTATTAGTTATTGTGAAAGAGTCACGGTAAAAAAAAATTGCATGGGCAAGGACATCTTAATTATGCTTGATTTTGTAATTTGTCAAATTAACCTAATCAGACAATGCAAACTCGCTACTCCACTGATAAATTTGTCAACCACTTAAATGACTTTTGCATGCTGTGGTCATCAGTTCTCATTTATATTAAAAGATGACTGTTTTTGATATATATTGAAAATTGTCATCACTTTATTTGAAAATGTCTAGCAGAGCGGCTCTGTTTCAGTTTTGTTTACTCTGAGGCGTAGGGGTTTTATTACAGACATTGATCAAAGTGATGGCACACTTTGAGTGATTGGCTCTCTCATAATCTCAGATTGTGCTCATGCTGATGGCATCATAATCTGGAATGATAGTCCACAGGCACAAATGTTTGTTTTTAAAAAACCTGCCTGAATGCAGCATTGAATGTGGTGGGCCTGCTGGCAGCATCCATCCAGACAACCTGCTAAGTGAATTCACATGGACGAGATAACAGCTCACCTTGTGTTTGAAGTAGCAAGGGCGAGCACACAGACTTCATCTAGGTCAGCGAGGCGCTGGGGAAAACGCTACTGAGCGACGCACGCTTCGAGGTGTTGACCTCGCCTCATCCTTGATATGCATACAGAATGACACACTTGGAGGAAAAGACGTCCTTGTTTAGAGCTGTACAGCGGGAATTATGATCAGTTAGGTGTTTAGATGATACTGACTCTTCAATATTACAATTGGGATGATCCATAATTTCTCTGATTTCCCATCATTTAATCCCAGTTGATTATTATTGTTTTAGTGCTGCACACTAGTGCAGTGCTTTTATTTCCTTGTAAATCTGGAGAAGTCATTGGATTGCAGTTTGATTTTTCACTCTCTGGTGTTTTGAAAGGCTCTCACGCAGCGATCTGGCTTTGCTCAGGGGACCTTTGCTTTGTGGGCTCTCTGACTCACAGGATGAATTACAAGAAGGATGAGTAAATTTGGCTCCCTGACACAGATCTGCATTCAGATCTCTGCACCTCCTTCGCCAAAATAACCCTTCAAAGATGAAGAAGAGCTAAACTTTGCACAACAAATATCATATATCATCAATATTTGCTGAATTGGGACATATTGTAGAAAGCTGTTCATTTAAATATTAAAGACACAAAGGAGCAGTTGCAGAAACTGCCTGTCAGGAAGAGTCGAAAAGGATGCGAAACATCCGTGGCGTGGATCTAAATATGTGGATTAGTGATATGTTGTGACTGTATCTTATGTTTTTTTTTATTTGTCATAAACTTGTGTTTTGATGACAAATGAAAATTGTTGGTTTATTATGACATGTTTGTGCCAATTTAAATATACGTTAATTATCTTGTTAACATTTCATCAAAGGTTTTATTGAAATGTGAATTATTTGTGAGACAACAAAGGGTATATTATAACAAAGTATTGAGATGAAATTTTGTTATTGACCAAATACTTATTTTCCACCATAATTTGCAAATAAATTCTTTAAAAATCCTACAATGTGATTTTCTGGATTTTTTTTCTCATTTTGTCTCTCATAGTTGAGGTATACCTATGATGAAAATTACAGGCCTCTCTCATCTTTTTAAGTGCGAGAACTTGCACAATTGGTGGCTGACTAAATACTTTTTTTCCCCACTGTATTGGTAAGAATTTTTTATATGCTAAACTTAAAATGTATATATTTTTAGACACAAATATGTTGTTATAGCTAGTCATGATCATTTTAGCAGGCCAAGAATTTCACCATAGCGAGTAAAAGTCTGAAAAATTATTTCCGTCAAGCATATTATTTCAATATTTAATATTGATTGTTATTTAATGAATTATTTCCTTATTTAAATACATAGAATTTAAATATTTACATTACCATCCAAGTGTTTTGGGTCGGTAAGTTTTTTTTCATATATATATTATTGAAAGAAGTCTCGTATGCTTAAAAAGGCTGCATTTATTTGATCAAACATACAGTATAAATCGTAATATTATGAAAGATTATATAAAAGTTTCTATTTGAATACATGTTAAATTTAAATTTATTCCTGTGATGCAAAGCTGAATTTTCTGCAGCTGTTATTCCAGTATTCAGTGTCACATGATCCTTCAGAAATCATTCTAATATGCTGATTTGCTGCTTAAGAAATGTTTATTATTATTATCAATGTTGAAAAAAAGTTTTAGCATTAGTTTAGGATTTTTTGATGAATAGACAGATCAAAAGAACAGTATTTATTTGAAACAGATTTTTTTTTTTTTGTAACATTATAAATGTCTTTACGGTTGCTTTCAATCAGTTTAATGCATTCATGCTGAATAAAAGTATTAACCACTTTCAAAAATAAATCTTACTGCTCCCAAACTTTTGAAATGTGGAGTTAATGATGTATTTATTTTTATTTAAACATTTAAACACAAGTGTTGAATATGGCCCCTTTAAGTATCACTTAAAAAAATCATGTTTCTGGATAAAACGGCTAAAGCCAGATTAGTCCGCTTCGGCTCAGTGCGATATCATCTCAGCAGGCGGCAGATATGCAGCATATTTGCCGGTCGAGGGATTGGTAGCAGCTCCCTGATGGTTTGACTTGTCAGAGGAGTGGAATGAAGGGCCAGGTAGCCGACAGAAGATGACAGGCAGGCAGCAGGTTTACAGCGGGCCACGGGCCCTCGTCTTATCTGCTCTTATCAGCCGTCTCCCGGATACTGCCCTCGGCAGAATATCAATGCCTCTCTTTCTGTCAGCCGACTCTGTGTATCATGCAAATATGACTGATAAAATAAATATGGTGAGTTTATGGGAAGGCAGGGGCAGCCAGAGGTTATACGGCTCTGTTGCCTCTGTGTGTGGATGAGGTTAGACTAACTTGTGTGTCTGTCTTTCTTTTACTTCAGGTGTTCAGGAGAAAAGCTGTTGAACTAGGAGAGAAGCTGTTGCCGGCTTTTAAGACCCCTACTGGTGTCCCTTGGGCTCTTCTCAACCTAAAGAGGTCAGTGATGCACAAACAAACACATTTCCACATGAACTCCCGAGGCTTTCTTCAGCCAAGCAGGTCAGATCTCTCCACTGCCTGTCTTAAGCACTGTATCTGAAGCCTCAAACCCAGCAGCATCTCTCTGTCACCACCCGGTTCACCAAGATGTGATAATAAACAAACAGTTCGGTGGGATTATTTTGTTGCAGAAGCCATTTTCTGCAGCTCGATTCTCTGAATGTTAAAGTGCTTCTTGCTTTGTTGCTGTTTTATGCTCTTATACATTTTTTAGTAATTCAACATAGTGTCTTTCAGCTAGCTTGGTCTCAGAAATATCAGTTAAAGGAATAGTTCACCTAAAAATGAAAATTTGCTGTTAATTTACTCACCTTCCGGTGACTAGGTGACTTTTTCTTCCTCAGAAGAACAGTAAAGAAGTTTTTTTTTTTTTTAAACCTTTATCCTTTGTGATTCATAAAATTGAGAAAAAAAAGCATATGCACGCAAGACAAATTTAATTCCCGTGGCTCCTGACTAGAGATGGACCGATCTATCGGCCAGGGATCGGAATCGGACGATTTTCCTCATGATCGGCCCGGATCGGTGGTCGGTCGATCAGTCTCACTTCTTTCCGATTTCAAACCGATCCGTTTTGTTACCAGCGGAACAGGCAATAACATCAGCTGGGCATTCTCACTCTCATCTTTCTGACGACCCCTTCTCTCTCACACACGTCTCATTCGCTCCGGTTAAATAGTGCTTGTATTGCGCATTATAGTCATTCCCGCAAGTTTCGCTCTTATACTAAACGCGCGCGCACCACCACTGATCTATATTAGTGGCGCGCACAATCTGCGCTCAGTCTCAAACAGCTTGTGAGTCACAAATATCAAAATGAGTGGCTAACTGCGCTAAAACGTTCAAATACATACAAAATTGTCAAAATGTCTGTCTTAGCGAGTATCCAGTTAAACACAGTCAGTTTTGGAACGTTAAATAGTTGAGAAAGAGAACGCATGTTGTGTAACAGTATACTGGGTCCGTGGATAAACTCTTAAAGGGACCTCAGTCCAATATTCCTGCTGCTGTCTGTCATGTTAAGCAAAGAACAAAAGACAAAGAAAACCACTTTCTGCTCTTGACTGTATACGTTTTATAACTTTAATGGTAAGCATTAATCTGTATTTAATTTTTTACAATGAAGACTACAGAAATTAAAGTAATCAAATCTAAAATAACACTGGATGTGTTATTTTACATTTGATTACTTTCATTTCTGTAGTATAACTGAATAAAAACTTAACCTGAAAAACTTAGTTTCATAGCTCACTTTATTCTATTGCATTTATTTGTGCTGTTTGCCTTTTTTTTTTTTTTGTTCTTATTTTATTACTGATTTTTTTACTTGTGTTTTTTATGAAAATAAAACTTTGCGTTGAAAAAAAAAATAGATTTTTGTTTGTATATGCTGTCAATTATAGTTCTTGGAAAGAAAATCGGAATCGGCAAAAATCGGTATCGGCAGATCACACTAACAAAAAATTGGAATCGGCCAAGAAAATTGCAATTGGTGCATCTCTACTCCTGACGATATATTGAGGTCTTATGAAGCGAAACAGTTGGTCTGTGAAAGAAACTGAACATTATTTACAACATAATTACCTGTAGTCCAGATGGTAATATAGTCATATATGTGTACGTATTCATGCGTTGTTGTTGTTTTTGTTATAATCAAAGACAGATTTTGGCAGTACATGTGAGATTTTGATCATAAACAAGTGCATTTCAAGGCAGGCGTGTATGTGTTTGTGCTGCATGTGGTTAGATAAACGCTAGTTTTGAGGGATTTGACTGTGTATATACCACGTGGCGGTCAATGAGTACATTTTTCTGTATTGTTTATATTGCACCACGGTAGATGTATTTGCAATATGTTTAGACGTGGAGTTTAGATGTTTGTAGTTGCACACATTAATATGTATGTGTGTCATGTATCCAATAGATGTGCATCACGGTTGTCTGCATTTTGACTATTTTTTAGCAGATCCAAACATAACTCATCCAGTAAGAATTGAGTTTGAGCTGTCTGTTTTATAATGTTAGTTACATAACGTTAAGCATAACATGAAATAATTGTCAGAAAAGTCTTTTTTTTTTTTTTTTTTTTTTTAAACCTTTTTTTTATTGAACCTTTAGACAAAATCTAATATTTAATGTATTAAATATCATATTTGGTACATCAGGCTTGATGTCTTATATAGGAGGGGGGAAAAAACACCTTTTAACAGGGCCCAAAATAAAATATGCAATTTGTTGCAGTTTTTGATGTTTATATGGCCAAAAAGTAAAATTTTGATAGAATGTATTGTACATCAATGAGATCTTTATAACAATATAGCCGATTACTTAAATAATGCATATAAATTTCAGTTCTCACACTATATTTCCCAATAATATGTATGCTCTGAAGTTTCAAAATATATAATGCAATGGAGTGCGCTGATGATTTAGAGATGAAAAAAATAAATGTTCTTTATAAGCCTGCTGTATCATATTTGATAGATTTTAACATTGTTTTCTAAAAAAAAATAAAGATCTACAGATAATCAGGTTTAAGTTTAAGTCCAGTAATTGTTCATCTTGAAATATAACATTTATTCCTTACATTTACTTTATAAAAATCAGAAAAGATTTGACAGCAAATTGACATGTGTACCATGAGCTGTAGGTGTAATACAATAATAGGCTTTTACTTGCTACAAAAGTATAATCTGCCAATCAGAAAATAGAAGACATTAACTATTTTGTGCTCAACAGGTTTTTCAGCTATGTTTGATCATGCTGATAATTTAGAGTCCTTAATTTATGTATCAAATATCACAAAGTTGACTTTATGGGGTTTGCACTAATGCCAGACTTATCTTTTATTATAAATCTATTCTTTTGGATTGCAACCATCACTTTCTATGTAAAAAGAGAAAATAATCAAATAAGATCAAATAGATTTAATGTGTGGTGTATTTGAATTCACTGTATTATCCAAAGCTGTTACTTTACAGAAAAAAAATATTAGGGTAATAGACCATGACCATAATATAAAATGACATAAAATAGATTATATGGTCATGCAGCCCACTCCTGATTCATACACTTCACAACAGGTTCAGAGATCCCAGTTGTCCTGGTCTGTGATGGATGTCTGGCCACCCGAAGTAGGGATGCGCCGATCCGATATTCATATCGGATATCGGCTCCGATAGTGCCATTTTTCTCGGATCGGGTATCGGTCAGAGAGAACCGATCCAAATCCGAGATTTTTTATTTTTATTTTTTTTCTCGATTGTGGGAATTATTCTGTGTTACTTCTGAAGCCAAATGGTAGCTTAATGTGAGCTACATATGAATATTTAAGTCCTTACATTAAAGTTCACACAAACTCTTTTCTCCGCTGTGGCTGTCAGTCATTCGTTCAGCCTTTAAACCCTGGTCGCGTTCGATTACAGCAGTCAGCTTGGTAAAGCTCTCGCCAAGATCATTATGTGGTCCCATTATGCACAGTAACTGAAATTTAAAACTGTTAAAAGAAAGGCTCACTAACTGTTGCACAGATATAATACACTACGCATCAATTTCTCTTCCGTTTGTGCTTTGCGGTTTTTAACACGAAGCGCTTACAATGCTCTTCGTGCTCATACATAGACTGTCAACCCTCTACGACTAAATCTTCACTCTGGGCGACTAAATGATGTCTAATATTAGCCAATGGCAAATCAATTCTCAGATTTTACTCACCAGTGTGCGAGTTGGATGCTGAGTATATGATTAGCACAGATATATTTTCACTCACAGTCACAGAACACACTGACTGAGCGCTTCAGAGTTTCACTCTGTGTCAAGCGATCTGATATTTTTCAGTTCATTTGAATGGATGCGCAGCGCACCTGTGTTTGTGTATTTGGCGTAACGTGTTTCTAGTGTGAAGGCGCACGACTCGCCGTCGCTTTCTCTCACACGCTCAAAGAGCGAGAGTCTTGCATAACATGCAGAATTGATGCGCTACATGTAAACGATATACTTTGTTGTATTTTCCTGTAAAAATAACAGAGTTCCTTATATATATATAACCGTTGAGGGTTGACTGTATAAAAACAGTTTGTGCTGCACTGTATTTGTTTTGTCCTATCGTATCTATTATATGTTGTTGCCTTATTAAAAAATATGCTATACATTTAAAATAAATGTATTTTAATTTTATAGTATATACTTATATATAAATACATTCATGGATGTTTTTAATGAATGGATTTTATAATACAAATAGCAATGTGTACCATATTTAGCACTTTTATTTGTTCCCCACAAAATAGTTTTTCACTAAATGTTTGGATTTCTAAAATTATTGTGCACTGATTTTTCTTGAATAACTTTTGCTGCCGAATTATCCACTAACCTAGTTTATGATAAATTTTTGTCATAGATTATAAATATACATAAGCCTATATTTTTTCATATTTGTTTATTTTATTTTTCTTTATAATGAAGTAGTCTTTATCTAGTAGATTGTGAAAGAATGATTATCAGTTCCACACACAGAGATATATAAATTCTACATTTATGAGGGAAAACAAACTTCACTGGTATCGGATCAGAATCGGTATCGGACAATACCGAACCCTAGGTATCGGTATCGGAAGCGAAAAAGGCGGATCGGAGCATCCCTAACCCGAAGCTCTTCAATCGTAGGCAAGCAGAAAATCAGTGCAGAGATCTTGAGAAAGACAAGCTGTCAGAGGATTTGATTGGATGAGTTATCCCTCGACTGACAAGACTACACAACTCTTGTCTTTTTGCAGTCAGGCACCGCTGGTGAGGACAATGCAGAATGAGTGGGCGGCACATGGTAGAGAGCAGAAACATACTTCAGTGTTTATCAAAGCTTTTCATATTAGCTTGAGTGTCCGCGGTGTGTTTCCTTGTTTAAACTGCAGTAGAACTGGAGTGAAGTGCTCTGACAA